ACGAAGTGATGGCTGAGAGTTATTCGTCGCCAGCGATCGCGCTGACAGAGACAATCAGTTGTCCGTTTCGACGGGGGAATGGAAGTCAACCAGAATGAAACCCGATTTGGGCATCGTGAGGCCCGTGGGAATTGGCGTCGTGGCTCGATTGCCATGAGCACCACGCTGTAGTTGAAACATTCAACCGTGGTGGCCCCAACCCACACGCGTTTGGGATGTGTCGCGACAGTGTCGTGGCCGAGGCACACACTGTATCAACCAAACAAACGGCGAGAATTGCGCGCATGCCGACACTTGGTCCAGCCACCAAGACAAAAGAGGAAGCAAAGAGGCTTGGGCGGGATTTCAGCGGCATCAAGTCCGACTTATCTAAGTAAGACAAGTAGCGACGGCGACGAGTGGAGCACGGAACGTTATTGTTCCACAAGACTTGAGCGAAAACGCCATGACGAATGCAGCCGAACTCCTGAGGGGAGCAAGGCCGCTTCAGATGTCTGCCCCTTCACAGAATGGCCGCGTCCCTTCCGCACACGATCTCGCCCATACCAGAGAGCTCCACTGGCCGCAACGCCACTTTGCGCGCATCGACTTCTCCGTCGCCCGTGCGGAATGACAATCGTGCCTGCCGGTCAACACTAGTAGTACTACTAGTAGCTACTACCCTCGACATTGTTAACGGGAAGAGTTGCTGAACAGCCATGAAATTCGACTGAATACTACACTAATTCTAGTTCAATGACGATGAGACGGTCGACACCGCTGCTGAGTGGCGTCCGAGGCAACGCGAGGAATGGGCTCCCTACGCCATCACTAGCACGCACTGCGTCGAGATCTCCCAAACAGGTCCTGCTTCGTGGATCTGTCGGTGCTCTTCTCTGGTCCTTGTCGAGTGAGGTCACAATCTCGCCTCCTGATTGGTGGAAATGATTCAAATCCTAGCAAAACAGACAACGCGATTGTCATCATGATGAACGCAACCAACAAGTTGGAGCGTCGGCGCATGAAGCGCAGGACGTACATTCGAGAAATGATGCAGCACTACCGCCAAAAGGAGCGAGGGGACCTTGCCGCGTTACGAGCTGAGGTCAGCGAACTCGAGCAGGAACTCCGCCGCCTTGAAGTTTGTCGGATTCCTTACAATCCACTTGCTGCACTCCCCTGGCGAGACGTCGCCATGGCGCTGCGCGACGAGGAAGGGACGTCAGTGTCAGAGAAGCGACTGCTTGTGCATCAAGTGGACGATATGGCGATGGTGATCCAGGAGTTGGTGCAATGGCTTGCAAGGAAAGGTCCAAAGGGGATTCCCGTAGGTGACCATCGCGACAAACGCCACAATCAACTGTTCATTTGGTCGCTTAGAGATCTATTCAAGGCGATGGCGACGATACGTGGCGCAACACGTCGCTGGCGGCGGCCCCAGCCTCTCGGGAGTTGGGAAAAGCTTGGATCCTGAAGCGGCTCGTCCACCACGCCCCAGCGATATTCCACAGCTTCGACTTTCCAGCGTTTGAACTGGGCAATGCCTTTGAAGACATCAATGTCCAGTTCACAGAGCACGGGTATATCCTCGTTGGTCGATCGCAGTATGAGGCGGCCGAAGGGCCGGCTGCTTTGGCGCCAACGTTTGCCGCATTCAAGGACAATCTGTGCAGCGTTCTAGTTGTGAATGGCTTGGAACCCGTTCCGCATGAGGTTCGGTCTCGACTTGACTTGTGCTGTGTGGAGATGGCTGAAGTGAGTAGACCGTCGTGGAGTCCTCGAAGACGGCGACGCTGCATCGCATGAAAACGTGGCGTGGCGAAGGCGTGAATCTGCTTTGTGGCGCAGTGATGGAGCCAACTCGCGGAATTCTCGTGGCGCAGCAGATCGCCGACGATGATCGGTGGACCTACTCGGCGACGTCCACCCAGCGGGATCGCATGCTATGGTACCATGAATCAATCCATCCCACTCGAATCACGAAACGCGGTAGGTTTGAGAGAGTGTATCTCCCCTGTGGCCGCAAGTGCGTGGCGAGAATGCTGCTTGTGGTGCATCAAACTAAACGATACGACGGTGAACTCATTCCGCTGGATGAAGAGGCGGCCGACTGGGGTGGCGACCTCTCCATGTGCACCTCATTGGAAACCAAGGAGGCGAGGTATCGCCGCCACGCCATCGAGTTTGCACAGAAATCGTTTGCAGCGTCGCGGGAGAGACTCTCGAGAGGACGGAATGCTCGTCCGAGTGAGGGGTAAAATTCTTCTCTATTGATCTGTGTATCGAAGTCGCCGCCGCCGGCACATATCCCCGGCTTGAGTTGCTGCTTCGGCTGGAGCGGCAACCGCTGGTTCCACACGAACAGGAAGGGCTGTCTGCTTCGGCGCCATCGGCAGGCACTCTATTCAATATCGCATCGAATACACCTTCTCAGCGTTCCACAGCGGGTGCTCATCCACTGACGGCCCGCCAAGGCCATGGCGATAGGCCGGATCATAGATTCCCCTCGTTCCAGACATTGGATACTATTGTGTCCAATCAAAACGCTCAATTTCATATGAAGCTGATTTTCAACCAATCAAAATTGTTTCACCGCAGGATCGCCCCCAAGGAAAAGTGGCCAAACAAGACGAAGATGACGTGCCACTCCAACTTTTCCGCCCGTCCGCCGAGCCATGGTACGACTCCGCAGGTCGAAAGAGTCCTCATGCCGCTCATTCGTAGGTTCTGTTCGGCGATTACAACGTGGACCTTGAGCCCGTGTACTGCAGCGACACGTCGGTGGTCGTCAAAGCCGTCGACCGCCTCCTGCCCAAACGCGTATACGACAAAGGAGTTCGGCGGAAGAAGACAGGCATGAATGCCAAGGAATTCTTCTCCGCCATGGAGATCCTGGTGCTGGCAAGTTCGGAGCTCCCGCCCTTCATGCGCAACACAAAGGTTGGCTCGGTCGTCCAATTCCTCGCTGAACATTGTGTCTCATGATGAAGCAGGGACCGCAGCGACTCACGTGGGGCGAACAGTTCGACATTCTCACAAAAGACTGTGACGCCATCTCTTCCGATGCCTTTACCAAGTACTGCGACGAGACCCTCGGTCCGCTCACTGTCGCGATCAAGTTTATGAGTGAACAGACCGCGCACGACAAGGAAGTTCGCTTGCGCCAGGTTGCCAACATCTCCGTGCTGCCAATGCTGCCCAGCGGCGTATCGAGTATTCGAACCGCATCTGGATCTTCTTCCTTCCTTCGCAACGACAAGACACCCATCGACTTGGCGTTGTATCCCTATGCGATCGTCATGCCGTTCGCGCAAATGACACTGGCAGATCTCGTGTCGACCGAGACCATGGCGGCAAAAGTGCGTTACCTCGGCGAGCTTGCCGAAGCACTCAGTGCATTCCACAAGGAGCACATGGTCCATGGCGATGTTACGTCGTTCGACGCGGTGTTTGTGCACGACAAGCTGTACGTGATCGACGGCGACGCGTCGGCAGTCATCGGCCGCGACCATCTCGGCTTCAAGTTTTCGAGTGTCTTGCCACCAGGTACAGCGTCGTTCCATGTTGGGCGAGTGGCCTCACGTGGGTTTAGAAATGTTTTACGAGCTCAACCAGAATGAGGCAGACGCGATCATGGCGTACTGGGACGACCGAGACGACGCCCATCGATCGCGCGTCGTGACGCGAACGGCATCGGTCGCGGTGAAGGCGTGGTGTCCAACGAAAGGCACGAACGGGTTGCCGTATTCGCCCGTGCGTGCATCGCAGAAGGCAGACTCGTGGGCGTTTGGTTGTCTGATGTTCAAAGTCCTCACGGACGAAGATTTGGTGCCCGTGACAATTCGCGGCACTGTCCACCCCGACCACGTCCAACGTGCAGCCTCTTGGACTGCCGACGCCATCCGCGACCGTGTCTCGAATCGCGTGCGTGAGCCCCACGCGGTCGCGTTGCTCGTCGGGCTGCTCGATCCCGATCCGGACTTTCGATTTTCGCTGCAAAAGGTGGTCAAGGACCCCTTCTTCACGGGCGCCGTGTCGCCCACCGACTTGGAGCACCTGCTGCAACGCGCCCTGGACAATTCGCATGCGTTAAAGGAAAAGGCAGACGAAGTCTTGGAACAGGCGCGCCGGAACAATCGCCAACTCCTGGCGACGATTGCAGAGATCGAAGCCGCCGTCGTCACGCTGAAGAACACAATATTTACAGCCGTCCTCGAAGCCAGTGACGTGCAAGTGCCGTCGTCTTACTTGGTCTTGCCTCAAAAGCTCCGCGTGACTGCCGACGACGTCGAAGCGGCCAGAACGACAACCGACAATTTCCTGGCGTACTTGACGACCATGGGCGGCGAATTCTTGAGCGCGTTGAGCAGCACATCGGCGACGGCCAATGTGCTCAAGAAGATGGCGGGGGGAAGACCCATGTATCTGTACCTTGTGGACGAAATGACGGGCCTGCCCGTGCTGCCGGCCGACAACGACACGGTGTACCCCATTGAGCTCGTGGCCGACTCGACGCAGTACATCGAGTTCATGACGACGTGCATGCCTGCAATTCAGAGCAGTTTTCAACTACTTCAGCAGGGGAACAACATCGCACGGCTCCTGTCGTGGTTTGGTGTCCCCAGCATCGACAAAGATATTGTCGACCTAACGCAAGACGTGATCAAGAAGATGACTTGCACGCCAGTGGTGTTTGCCGCGCAGCTAAACGCGCCACCCGGCATGGAGACGGAGGAAGCAGTGAAAGCGGTGCGGGGCGCAGGTCTTCGCATGCTGGATGGATTCCTCAAAGCCGAAGACCCGAACCAGTGGTTTTGTGGCCTCGCGCGCGGCTCCGACGACGCGACCGGACAAGCGGTTTGGACCACGATGGCGCGCGTGAATCAGCTCCAAAGCGGTATGAGCTTTGCAGAAGTCCAGCGGATGGCTCTTGCGGAGGAGGCTGCCAAGACCGCGGCGGATCAAACTACGCTGGACCCGCGGATCGTCCAAGCCGCAGTGACTCGACCTCTCCTAGAGACTACAGTCGTTGTTGCGCCAAGCTCGTCGCGTCGGGGCAAGAAGGAAGAAGACTGCGATGCGTTCTTGGAACGGATGGGGGGCGATATCCAAAAGTCGTGCGTCAGTTTGTGTTCGATCATGTAAATTCGTTGTGTCCTGCTCGTGTTGTGGAGGAACTTCAATCCAGTGGCAAGATTACATGGGCGGTGATCGCGTCCGCCCTTGCCGTTGGTTCCACTCGCAGGCCACCCAAAAGCAGGCGCTTTCCTGTCGTGGAGGTGGGAAGAATGCCCATGTGCTTAAGCCAGTAGAGCCGACTGCAACTCAGCGAGATCTTCGAACCAAGTTCGGTAATCCCTCATGCGACGGAGTTCCCCGGCGGTGGCTCCCTTCACGCTATTCACTGCACGGATGCTATGTTGAGTTTATGGCCACGATCCACCAAGAATGCACGGCTGGACCCTTACGCACTAGCGCATGGCGGGAGTTGAAGTCGTCCGCTAAAGTCGAATCAAAAATGCCATTGCCCACTTCGTGATTCGCAACGATTTCTGCGCGTTCTAGGGGATGGAAGCCGGCAATCCAGTCAACCCAAATGACCAGCCTTGCCTTCACGAATGAAGTGTTGCTACTGCGTCACCCCCTCCAAATCCATAGATCACAAAGCCGCGAGTAGTATACGCGGGTTCGGTTTCCATCGAACACATGAAGTAAATGATGCAAGCGGCCATCGAGCACTACGGTGTCAGTGGTTGGCATTGATCCCATTGCCGTTGCATCATCGCAGCCATTGCTTCCAGCACAGCAGATCCCCGCTCCAAGCTCAAGTACGGTGTGGTGACGCCGCCGCGAAGATTTGTGTTCGAAAACTGTGCTTTGTGTGTGGTTGTGTTCAATATCGCATATAATTGGCTAATGACTGGATATATTTAACCAATCAAACCTCTGACTGCAATTGCATGCATGATGGAGGAGGCTGCCGACTACAGCTGCCGTCACAAGTGAGCACGGAAGACATGGAATCCACAGAGAATCGTGAATTACTGCCTGCAGAAGATGACAGCATGATTAACTCGAAGAGGGGATCTTGGGGACGGCACCAGAGACGAGAGATATTGATCGAGACGAGTGGCCACTTGTCGTAGGTCGCGCATGCACTGAGCTGAGTGAAGATTGGAAACAGTCGGCTCATTGTCGTGAATGACTGAGAGAGGACGACAAATGCTGTCGTACACGGTTAAAGACAGGTTAGCAGCCATCGACCAGGCCCCAGTCGGATAGATAGTGTTGGAGAACCCTGAGTAGGACTGGAAATGGCTATGACATATAAATGAAGGTTCCATCCTAACTTGAGCGACAACGTACGTTGAGAGAAGCGCTGCTCACCGCTCATTTTCAGTCTCATCCTTAGCGCCCAACAAAGCTGTCTCGAGGTCTTTTTGAAGGAGCACGAGGCTTCTCTTGGAAGGATTGCCTGTGAATGTGCATACTTTGATCAGGTCCCCTATGTACTTTCGAGGTTTTCCACGACTTCCTTCATCGCGGTGTACTCAGACTACTCCACCCACCGATTGTGAAGCATTCTCTATGAACGGAATGCATTTGATGCATTTCTCCGCCACCTTCGAGAAGGAATGGTCCAGCTCCCGCATCGTCTTCTCCAGACGGCCATGTTTGAAATTGTGGAGAGGGGTATCCGTATAACATATCCGGATGACCTTTCATCTGGGACACAACTCAATTATGGGAGAGCATGAGATTCCGCCGTCGAACAAAGGGTACAAGATGCTGACGAGCATGGGCTGGAAGGCAGGAGAAGGTTTGGGTGCGGAGAAGCAAGGGCGGAAGGCTCCCGTGCCAACATGCTTCAAGCGTGATCGAGCGGGCCTCGGAAAGAAGAATCTCCCACTTCATGTGACCCATACATCGGTGGTGACCGTGGTGACGAAACCAACACCGCCCCCGCAACCAAAGCTGACCGCGTTCGAGAAGAGACAGCTGCAGCAAGAGAAAGAAGCGATGGAGAAGAAGCACACGTCGTTCGCTCGAGACTTGTACGGAGATATGGCTGATGGTTACGAGGAGTACTTTCAGTGATGCATGTTTTGGCGCAATTTTGAGAAGTCGTACCAGCATGCATGGCAACGACTAAAACAGCAGCGTCCGTACTATCGATGGCAGCGAGCTCGCTCATGTACCAATGCTCCAGTCTGTTGCACAAGTGGTAGAAAGCCATGGCACGCAACAAAAGGCAACTTGTGTCTGTTAAATGGAGTATTGGCTATGTTGACTCTTGATCCTTGCAGGAGAAGGGCCATGGTCCATCGCTGGCACTCGTGGTTGGCTCGTGGAGTCTATCCTGCAGATTTGGCTGGTGTCTTGAAACGCCATGGGCCCCCACGCAGCGAGAGTGCATGCGGAGTATATGGGCAATGGGGAGGTGGGAGAAGAGGGCGATGGACGTGCTGCGGCAGGGGGGGTGGTCGCAGCTGACCTGCCAGCGCCTGGCGCAGAGAAGGTAGGTGCACTCGGGTGCGTTGAGACGTGGTGCTATTGTGCTTGACATCGAACTTGAAGCGAGGATGGTGTGCAGATGGGTTGAATTCGTCGTGGTGGAAATCAACGGCATCTTGGGGGTTGACACGGGAGAGCAAGTGTTCAATTGCTTGTGCATTGTCGCGGATTTGATGGCGAAGGGATTCATTCGTGGCTAAGGCGTCGTCGTTGGAATTGAGGCTTGAGTTCGCCCCAACAACTCGCCATGGCACGGCTGATGTAGACGTCGGAATAGTCCTTTTTTGCCGCTGGTTCTGCAAGCAGTGGAGGTCGTATTCCAAGGCGTATGCTTGTTCCCGCAGCGAAGCAGCGGCCTTCTTGTCCCTTGCTCGGTACATTTGCGCTTTCCGCCGCATGTATACGCGCTTCTTGTCCCGTGACTCAGTTTCCTCTTGCGGTGACTCCATCGCGGTGTGGGCTGGTCGATCGTTTTCCGAGTGATTTGCACAGTTGAACATGCTGAGGGCTGGTCCAAGTTCGTCGCCCGATCAAAACAAGCACAGAGTTGGACAATTTAGCTACGACTTGGACGAATTTCCATCACATGATGGGTGTGTTGGTCGAAATATCGAAAAACCATCAACATATCGCATGACGTCGATAAAATGAACGAACAGATGAGAGGTTGACCATGGAAGAGAATTTGTGCATTCGTCAAGGCCATGGCAGCCACGTGCCGCCGCCGTTCCTACATGACAACGCAGTCCCCATGGCCGGCGCGGGAAAGAATTCGCTTTGACTCGGCAAACAGCACCACGGGAGCATCCCGTCGCTTGTCCGATCACCGAATGCAGTACGCAATCGCGCAATCTGGGCCATTACGTTCCATATGATCTCGTTAGCGTAATCCACGGTCACCCAACATATATGACCAGGTCCTTCCAACGCAACCCGAACGGCGTTTGTTCTGTGCATCCTGTGCGTCTGCTCTCATGGCTGGACCCTGTGGTCTTTTGCCTGGGGAGCCGCCGTAGCCTCCACCGCTCAAGTCCCATGGAATCGTCGTGGTGGTTGCCGTCAGAGTCGATTTTTGTGGGTAACAACGTGATGGGGAACCAATCGACTGGATAAATTTGTACCGATTGGTCACGCGTGTGGTAGAGGACTCGCACAACGTTGCCCCAAACCAGTCACGGCCAAGGAATGGATTGTAATGTTAGCAGGAGCGGTCACTGTCCCGATCTCGGCCGCAGCCCGGCGGAGTAGGGACGGACCAGAGCTCGTTAAGTTGCACAGCGCCAGCTTTCGATCCAACTCTTTCCTACACTCAGCACAGGCGGCATGCACTGCATCGGGAGCGGACGTGGCCACTAGGTTGCCAACCAATATTGTCAATCAGTTCCAAGACTCGATTTGCTTCCGCGTCCGTGTTATGGCGGCGCGTGCAGCATCATCCTGGTCAGATGCGCGTTGATGCGGCTTTGATGGTTCGCGTTGATCTGGACGAGAAGAGCCGTGGAGTAGTTGTAAAACGTAATCTCCTTCTTGTCTTCGGGAACGCCATCGAGGTCGCACCCCCAGCTCCTCGCTTCGTCGTCCAGACTCACGTACCCGTTCGAGTCGAAGTACTGAGCGAACCGGTAGAGCACGCGAATTTGGGTCTTGCCCCCGTCCACGGGGCGCATGTCGAGCCTACCACAGCGCCGTGACCACACAACATACGCCCCAACATCCTTACCAAATCATGCGATTCCGTTGGCGCTGCGTCGTCGGTGCGGTCGCGTCGTCCTGGATCTGTTGAATCACAAACACACACCGGTCGTCATCGTCATGGAATTCGCCCGTGACCAAGTTCATCCACTCATTGTCGTCCGCGCGAAGTTGGTGGAGCGTCGTGTTGCCGCTGGTCTCTTTCAGAGTCTAGAGGCAGCCCTCCATCATGGCGATCGAACGGCGAAAGGGGACCCCCACCGTGTTGGCTTGGTATCCATACCAGTCCAGCATGAGGACGGAGCAGAGGTGGCTCTTGTACGCCTTCAACACAAAATCCATCGGCACGTCGACGACGTACTGTCGTCGGTGATGGTACTGGAAGCACATTTCCGTGGCCTCGACGTCGATATCGTAGAACTCTTGCGTCGACGATAGCGGCGGGTACGCGTACTGACCGAACATCCGATCTGTGTTGTGGTACATTTGCTGAGTGATCCACGCTTTGCCGAGATCGCGGGAAGCGGGTGTGCCGTCCAACGTCACGTTTCGCCACGTAGGTGTGTTGGCATGCATCGACGTCTGCGTAAAACGTTAGCGCACACGAGCTTGGTAGGTAGAGCAGTACGAGATTGATGGACACCCAGCGCGTCGTGGTGCGGAGGAGATGTGCCAGCGCGACAACTCGCTCGCGCAGGACGTCACGCTCGTTCTCGCATGCGTTGAGATCGTCTCGCAGTGCCAACGATACATCCTTCCACGGAAGCAGCAAATGTCGCTTGGACGGAAGCGCGCCCGACCTGGAAGCCCGTGTACGAATCGTATACTCTTGCTGGAGGACTGCGACCTGTGCCTTGAGGGACGCCATTTCGTCCCGCACTTCTTCTCGATAGAACCGCATGATGTTCCGCATATACTCCCGCTTCTTGAGTTTCTTGTGTGCGTTCTCGAGTAAGTCCAAGTCCAATTTGTCTGCCTTCAGCACACCACCGACGTCGCCGACGTCCGCCATGGCGGTCGTCAAATTGTCTCGGCTGTGTGTATCACGTCGGAGTTACGGGGTTACATGGTATACCTGTCACGTTGGGTTATTGTTGAACTGCCCCGACAAATATATCATCAAAAATATATTGATATTTTTTCAAAAAAACGCTTTTGGGGAATATTCTGGAGTTTTGATATTTGAGCCAATTGCCAGCGAACCGACTTCAACTTTTTTTTATCGCTGACCAGAAAATCATGCACTACTGAGCCATGTTGTACAGTGACACAACAAAGATCCACACAATGTATCTCTATATACGAAAGCCCTAATTCTGTAAATCGTACTACGTAGTACAGTTCATGGCGGCTGGTGCTAACTGCTGAAGATCTGAAGAAAAAGTATGAAATATCAAAACTACATGTCGTAAAAATCAAATCTCAGAGGGGGTCAAGTTTTTCCGGATATTCGTGAAAAAATGTTTTTGACGTGTGACTTGCTTCTGCTGAAGCAGCGGAGGAGAAAGTTTTTTCTCTCTGTGGCCAAGAAATTCTGTATATTTTGATACTACGTACATCTTGGCCTTCGCCATGGGAGCGAGTCCGGCACACGATGACGCCGACACCGAGAGACGCTTGTACTTTCGCATGAAACAACGTGAGCATCGCATGAAGAATCGATCCAAGCGCTCCAAGATGATGCAACGAGTACACGAGTTGGAAGAGACGCTTCGACGTGCCAAGATGAACGTCCTGTCCCGACAAAGGGCGACGACATCCCAGGTCCGAGGAGATCTGCTTCTTCCGTGGCACGTCATCGCAGACGTGATGAAGGCAGAACTTGATGTATCGGAAGCGTGCCAGGTCATCCTACGCAACCGCATTGATGTGTCCGTTGCACTCATTCAAGACATGCAACGATTCACAACTCTGCATGTATGCCCTTCGGCAGTCATCTCGGTGCTTGTTTGATGGTGCATGTAGGACACCTTTCGCCAACCATCGTGGAGGCATGTCACGCTCTTTGCCAATCCCGAATCCAGACGCCTCGGCAAACGCTGGATCACCGAGCACATGTACAGAAACAAACGTGCCATGTTCCAACAGTTCTCGTTTCCGCCGCTTCAGTCCAACGAGCGCGTTCAAGAGTACGACCTTGTGTACACAGCGAACGAATGCTACTTCCTCATCCAACGCTCCCATCTCACCTTCGACGTTCCGATGGAGGCACTTCGTCAAATGAACCACCGGCACTTGTGCTCTCTATTGCTGTTGGCTGGAAGCTCGCACATGGATCACGCAGTCTGTACCATCTCCACGTCCATCGCACGCAAAACTAAGTGGATTCTATCTAGATCGACGAGACTGACATGCGCTTTCAAGTTACCCCCTTGGGCGAGTGCATCAACCTGGTATTGGGGGAATTTCTCGATGCCGACCAGTGCACCCACGTGATCCAGCAAATCGAAGAGGACGAGCTCCGACCGACGTTGCACCGCCAAAGAAATCGATCCACGTGGTACGATTCGCCGCACACTGTCTTTCATCTGAATCGGTGGCTGCAGGATCGAAATGACACGAATAGCTCCACGACACACCAAAGTCCGTGCGCTGTCCATAATTTCGCAGAGCCGGCGAAAGGTCGGCGGGTATGTATCATTAGACGAAGAAGCCGGTCACTTGGGGCTGAACACGACGAAGGCCCCGGTTACCGACGCCGCCTTCAGGACCCAACTGTTGGCCCGCACCAGTCGGAACTCGAGCCCCGTGATCCAGGACATCCCCACCATCCTGGCCAACATCGTGGCCGAATTACCGGAATCAACTGAATGAAACACATTCACATCGAAGTCCGGTACTGGTCACCACTCGCTGAGGCCGCCAACTGCTCGCACTACCACACGTCAATTCCTCTTCACCGTGTCTTGTCGGCCCCCTTGTCATCTTGGGCAGTGGTCGCACATAACATTTCGGCCATCAAGTGGTGCACGACACCGCAAATGCAGTCGGCAGCTGCATCGATCATCCGCTTGCACATCCAGTTGGATAGCTTGGGACTCGAAATACGTCCGCGCTGCAGCGATGATGACCCCCACAGTGACAGTGCTTGATCCACCAAGGCGCAGGCTGGAGCTCCACCCTGCATCCTACATTCAACTCAGTCAAAGCATGAGATTGCTAACCGACGGTGGCATCCTCATCAAAATGGGGCTGGAACTTGATGGATGTCGATCAGCGCTGAGGCACTGCGGGAGCCCCATCGTCATCTGAAACCAATGGGCCGTCCGCACGTGGTGCTACGAATCTGCGGTGGTCGAGCACATGGTGGAACAATTCCTTTGTCCACCATGCCATACCCCAGCCGAAACACACGACTTGGGAATTGATAACCGCGTGCTTTCTTCTGCAAGGTCAACGCAATCGCGTTCCATGAGAACAAGCGGGCCATGAGATTAGCTCTCGTTGCAACAGGTGGTCCTTTGGAAGTGCGGAAGAGCTGCAATCCATTTGATCAAGTCCTTCCTTCGGTTCGTCTCGACATGGACTTAATCGCCGTTCGCCGATAGAGCTAGCGCATGGTTGTCGCGTGGCGCCTCGGCTCCCGATATCTGAAGCAAACTTTTTACAGGAGGTTGGCCCGCACTACAACCAGTTCGGGTGCATTCAGGCACAGCCGTCGCAGTCTGGCAAACCCCTTCCACCACAACACCCAACACAAAGAAGGTCGTGGTATTTGCATCTGCTTCTCCCTTCGACCACCCTCTATCCGTCCCTGCAACGAGCCAATTGCTTCAGTTGCCTCGACCGCCCACTTGCTCGAAAGCCCCTCCAGATCAAAGTCGTCGAGGATGTTTCGCCCATCCATCACATCTCAAACGGGCACATGACGCCGTGTCTGATCTCCAACGGCTCCCCAAACCCAACGCTTGGTGCTGCATGCTCGGCCAAGAGATGGATGGATCATTGGGGTGCACGACGACGTTGGAGATGAAGACATTCAACGTTTTTGGCGATGCATGTTGCGCCAGAAGGACCCCACGAACGTATTGGCGACCACCAAGTCGGTGCTTCTTGCGTCGGCGCAAGTGGTTGGAACGCGTAATGTAACATGCAGGCTTCTCGAACGGAACGGTTTGAAGACACGACCAGCTTGGACGTCGATGGTGACGTTGAGCATGTAGCGCTGGTCGAGAGGACGTCGAAGGACTGGGGAAACGTCAGTTGGTGCAGGGCAGGTGGGATCGAATTCGAAAGCTCAAGGCGTCGAGTCGAGCAGCGATGCCGCGGTGCTGGAACGTCTGGTCTACGTGAAGGTTGGCATGATCCAGGCTTTCCCCCAATTCCTCGACTCAAGGATTCGAGAGAAACGGGTAGTTCGGCATTGCTCTGCCAACTGCACGCCGCTAGGAGAACAGCTTGATGACGCTGCGAGAGGGCATGGGAGGCGCTATCACCAAAGCTGTCATCTTGTTCACTTTGTCAGGACAGCGAGCTGGACTTTGAGGGCAGTGTTGCAGGCGCTGGAGAACACTTGCACGTCGCGCAGAGCGAATGCAACATCGAATTCAAATCCGGCATCGTTCCCTCGCTCTGTGGCCTGCGAGACGCGAGGACGAGCTCGAGCTCCGCGTGCTTGCTGAGAAGGAGATTGCACTCATGTCTAGCCGCCTCGCGAATCATCTATGTCATCGTTCTGCAGTAGGTGATCGTGATCCGTTGGAACTTGCGCTGCTGCGCTGCATTGTCATCGCGTTCGATCACAGGACTTCTACAGGACGTTGTTTGCTCGAGTCAATAGGAGCAAACCAGCCACCTTGTCCTTCAACGATAAGCGGATGGCCGTCGAAGCGCCGAGCTGACGAGGCGAGCAGCGGACTCGTCTCGAATGCGAAGAGCTAAGGTAGTTAGTCCAGGACTCGAGGACATCTCTACGCACGATCATTCAATAGCTGGTTACGGGGTTTCGACGGATCTCGGTGGTGGGCTCGTCGCGCTGGTACCGCTCGACGATGGATCTGAAGCGATATGCCGACAGTGCAGTCATCTCGTACATGGAGTCTGTGACATTCCGCAGCACCATGGCATCATGCACAATTGTGTTTCGCACTTGATGTGCATCTTTCGCCATTCCCCAGACCATGACGCCTTCTTCAGCCAGCGGTACGAGTATCGTTCGATGACGGCCTCTCCACGCTCTTGAAAACGACATGACGTATCTGGCGCTGGTAGTCGTCGGCGTTTGTGCCCGAAGGTCCAACCTACGCGACGTCGATCATCTTTCGAGGGAGCAAACTGCCGTACCAACTCGACCAGTGCCTTTGCAGATTCTCAGGATGCACCGCTATCGTTTCGTCGTCGGTGATATGTCTGCTCATAATAAGCGTCCGCCCAGGCTCGTGGACCACGCATACCAAGATGTTGGCCAAGTCCCCGTGGGAATTCGCGATGGGCCTCGTTGCTTGATGAAGGAGGGTTGTGTCAGTGGTCTCTCGAATCGAGTTCAACGACCCATGAAGTCGTCCCACTCGAGCGTCCTCGAAGGAGGTGTCCATCATGGCGACTTCGCAGAAATGGCGTTGGTAGATGGTCGAGAGAAGGTTTAACGGCAGGGGGTATATGAACTGGTGTGAGACTGAGTTACGGTGGTCGGGGAACCCAACTGAGAGGTTGAAGAACGGAGTCGTGGCGTTGTCGGGAGAAGGAAAGCCGTGGCGATGGAAGATGCGGTCAACTTGGTGGTACATTTGCTGGGTGATCCATGCTTTTCCCAGATCGCGCGACTTCGGATTTGAGAGCAAGGTGTGATCCTGCCACGTTGGCGCGAATCCATCCTCGGTGAATTGCTAACGATCACGGAGCGTTATGCGAGCGTGCGCATGGTAAGGCCTTACGAGTGCCGCGTTTGTGACGACCCATGACTGCATCTCAAACATGACCTTGTTTAAAGCTGCGAGTTGAGCTCTGAGTTTGTGGTTCTTCGTCTTGGAAGAGACGTGTTCATCGCGCAGACAAAGGGCTACATCTCTCCATGCAAGCATGGATCGCTCCTCTGAGTTGCACCTGACACATCGGCGTCGGGACACAAGCACTCGCTCGAGTTCGGCGAGTTTGCTGAGCAAGTACGCACGTTCCTGCTTTGCCTCCTCGCGGTAGATCCTCTTCATGTTCTTGCAGTAATTGCGCCGACGGATCTTCTTCTCATAAACTGCGTCGTCGCTTTGCGTCGGTAGCCCTGGCGCGGACATGAAGGAAACGAATTCACCATGTGCCCATTATCCGGATACATAACCGGAAGAACGCCACATCGTTGGTGACGTCGTGCCTCATGGCGCGAAGGAGGCGGCCGACGAGTCGCCTATATGGATATTGTAGCAAGGACACCGGCCGAGTAAGCGGGGGATGCGGCCCTGGCGTAGGCCGACAACGTGCAGCACGAAGGCGTTGGATTTGGTGTCGACAGGCAAGAACACACCAGTGACACTTGCTTCTATCAATCTCAAACGGGGCGCTCTTGCGAGATAAGCGACCTCGGAACGTATACATCATAAAATGGACACGTGATTCGGATTAGAACACAAAGGACATAGCCAAGACGGCGATGGCAGCAACGGTGGAGAGGGCAAACGAGCCGGCAACTCCCGACTTGACGGGGGCGTCCGTCACTTCAGTCGAAGTGGATGTGCCGTTCGACTTGCTGCGGGTTTCACAGTGGATACCTTCAAAACCAGCCGCACATTGGCAGGTCGAGTCGATGCCGCACGTGCCTTGTCCACTGCACACGTTTTCGAGAGGAGCAGTTGCGTCGCACTTGGCGCATTGGTCGCCCTTGGCGCCTACCTTGCACACGCACGCGCCATTCTTGGGGTCGCAGCTGCCCATGACGCCACACTGCCCGAATCCATCGCACACGTTGCCAACAGGTTCGTAGCAGTTGTCGTCGGCAGAGTACCCGCCGTTGCACTTGCACCCGTAGGTCGAGTTAAACTGGGAGACCGGGGCGCACGTGCCGCGACCGTTGCAGAGCGGAGCCACGCGCTTGACGCCGGTGGAGCTGACGAACGCGCTCGAGTTGCCGGCGCAAGACAGCAATTGCGAGGCCGTCAAGTCAAGGAAACCCATCTTCTTGTCAGAATACAACTTGGCGTCGACGCACTTGTAGATACCGTTGACCTCCTTCTCGTCACCGTTCTTGTTCGAGAACGTGGCGGCGAAGCACGTGACTGTCTTGTTCGCGTCGGCTTCATTCACAGATGTGCCATCGGCAGCTAAGGCGTTATCGCAGTTCTTCGCTTCCGCGAAGGCACATACAGGTTGAATTTGGCGGTATTTGGTCGTCCAACTGTTGAACGATGGGCACGAGCCACCGACGTTACCCGTGCATACAGCGCCACGGACGCATTGGGACAGCGTCGTCAGCCCAGGAATCGACGATTCCACGGCCACGCACGAGTATTCTGCACCATACTTGGCGCAATCGGACGTGCGCTTGCAGATACCGGGGGTTGTCGGAGACACAGGGACTTCAGGCTCCACATCCAACGACATGACGGCGGCAGGGGCGACAGCCGGCGTGACAGAGTTGCTGACGTACCCAACCGTAGCCAAGGCACCAATCATGGCGACGGCAAAGGCCGCGGCCTTCTTGGAGCGCGAGTTGGACGAGGTGTCTTCCGAGACGACGAACAGGGGGGTACGTTCTGACATGGCGAGCGCAAATTGAGAAGTGCGGACTTTGCGCACCGCACATTTGTCATCGGCGCCCCAGCATCAATGGTGATAGATCTCTAATGCACCAATCAACAGGGCATTCAATGAATTTTGTGAAGCTGGATTGGTTGATAGACTTGTCGATCCGGGGCGCGACAGGCGTCAAAGCCTCGCGGACTTTCTGTGACTTGACATTTGTATACCCACGAGGGGATTGACACACAAACAATTAAAACCACACAGACATGTACATTATATTGGAAATTTTCTCTTCTAATTGCAACGGTGTATCAGGAATAAATTTTGTTTAAATAATGAAGCACCGAGAATCGAAGACACCTTGGCGGAAAGCCTGGCTGGGACAAGCGAAGTAGCTAAATTTCCCATACACACACATCGTCACAGACGACGCGTGTTGGCTTTGCCGGCATGTCTCCTGCGCAAGTGGTGGCTGGCTGCGCTCTGTTGAGAGCAACACAACGCGATAAAGTTGAAGAGTGCCTGCGCAGATTGTTTCGGTGGATAACGCGGTTGCAGGATACTACTACTAGTAGGCGTGCAATCTAGTTGTACTAGTTGCCATCGTCTACTAGTCACTGGTCTTGTGGATCGGTCATTGTTGCATTGGAATGGGTGCGCATTGGGTACACTTGATTGGGTGAAAAAATCATTTCCAAAGTTTCTTGAACGCGTGATGATGGAGGATGATGTGGCGACGCAGGAACTCATGGAGCGCAAGCTCAAGCGCCGAACTTACATGAGGAACATGATGCGCCAATACAAGAAGGACCGCAAGATGGAGGTCGTGTACTTGAAGGGGCTGCAGGAAAGACTCGAAGCCGAACTCCAGAACCTCGCAACTCGTATTTCGCCGCGTCCGGCGTTTACATTGGAGCTGCCTTGGAAAGAAGTTGCGCGCGCTCTCAATGACCTACGACGGCAAGCCACGACAGAACAAGATCAACTTAAAGCTGATGTGCTTGAGTACGAAGCGTTGGCACGTGACATGCAGCGCTGGGTCGCCGTGCATGCTTCCATCCCGGTAAGTAATCGGACAGCCACTTCACGACCGCGTTAACAATTGTGCATGTAGAAGCCCTTAAATGGCCACATCCCCACATGGAGACTCGCGCATCTTCCATCACACCCGCGGTCTCGAGCACTTGGGAAGGAATGGATCACTAGGCGAATGCTCCACAACATTGATCGTGTGTTCATGGACCATGGCATGCCACTCCCCAACGCTTTCAGTTCCGAATCCTTTGAGTTCTTTCTCACGACGTCCGGAGACAACCCCACATTCGACTACATCCACCGACATCATTTTGTATCGTCCATGCCTCCGGCAATCATTGTCACCACTTACCACCACATGCTTTGCTCGATCCTGCTGGTCGATCGGCATGATACAACTTCTCACGTAAGCACTTGCCGTCGCACCTTCTACGTGCCCTCATCATGTCATGCAGTCCACCAGACAGGAAGTGGATGGCGCCATTGCGATGCATCAACTCACTACCTCCAAGGGCGAGCGGGTCAACCTACTCACACGCGAATTCCACGAAGGCAATCGAGTCATATTTGTTGCACAGCACATACAAGACGATGAATGCAGTACTTTGTTCACCGATTGCCCTCAACGGCCTCGATCACTCTGGTATGATCGTGCATACCTCTTCCCCATCTCAAGTCAACGATGCTGTCCAGGGTTGACATGACGCCCATGCCGTCGGGGGTCACTGCGGTTCGAGTGATATACATGTACTCTCAGCTCCATCGCGGTGGCATGCCTTGTTCATTGGAAGAGGAATCGACTTACTGGGACTTCGATCCACGGACGCTGCCCCCGCACGCGTTTCCACAGCACGCCAGGCGGACGGCGCAGTCGTTCTTGTCTTCGTCGCGTCAGCGAGTGTGCGGGTTTGTCGAAAAGATGGTCCTTGAGTTGTCGTCCCGTTGAAGGAACCCGTGTCTCAGAAAACGGAACGGTGTTTCCGGATATTTACCGGAAAGTTGAACGATTTTTCCAACAACATTCCACCCGAAGATGGGTTCAATTTCCCAATTCCTGGCACTGTTTTTCATGTAAATTTCGCAATTGCAGCTGTGGGTGACGATGGCGCCTGCGTCGACGTCCAGTTGAACTCGAAGGTCCGCGCGTGCGCACGATGATAAGGATTTACCGCGATGTGTTCAAGTGCGAAAATGTATACGAAATGCGCACAATTTTGACGAGGCGGCAAGAGATGATGCATGCCTTGACAGTGTCCCTGAGTGGAGACTGACTTGGAGGGACGTTAAGACGGCATTGAGGGAGTGCAAAGATGCTCGGCTTGACGAGGAGAAGGATCATCTGAAGAAAAATACACCGCCAAATACCTTTTGATTCTACCAGACTCGGAGCATTGGGTTGCGTTGCCCTTGTCGATCCAACCAACATCTTCAAGGTCTTGTGAACATCTCTGAGGCATCGTGGTAGAACACCGCCAACTCGCACATGTCATTGTCGAGACATGACGGTGTTCGGGAATTCCCCATCGCCAAAGCTTGGTTGTTTCGTTCGTACAACAAGCCCACCACAGAGGGGTCCCATGGCGTTTCGACATGATTCTAAACATAGCGCCGTTTGCGTTCATCCATCACCACAACTTCGGCATTAGGTACGAGGTCAATGCGCTGACGCCTACCAAATCCAGACAGCGCTACCTCCTTCTGTATCCGCAGCTCATGGACAACAACAGACATGCTGTGCCCTTGGGAAGGAAAATCGAGAGTTTGATCAGCCGTCGCATCGACCAGTGGTCCTTGCACAAGCTCAGAAAGTCCTTGGGAGCTTCTGCCGCCAGGCAGCTCTCGACCTCGCAGATGCGTATCCTCGGGTACGCCCGTCGGGCATGGACCAAGCCCCGCTCACTCCTCAAGCCCGCATAACTATCGCGGTGGAGGTCATTGTGACTTCGATTAACGATCTATACCTGCGAGTGGGTCCTGTGACACGAGCAAATCCATGTAGATATGCCGAAATACATCCGACGACATGTCGTACAAGTATCGGATCCTGGTCCTGATGAGCTGTCGGAACGTGGCGGCGTTCAAGGGATTGTGATCCACCCCGATGTCCTGCGCCTCCACGTCCAGCGGTGCATACGATCCATCTTGGACGAAAGTTTGGCTGTTGATGTACAGCGAGCGGTACATCCACCGACCCGACGGCATCCGTTGAAAGTCATACCTGAAACGATCACGTCATGTCCACGGAGATGGCACACTTACGTACCACATCATGCGATTCCGCTGCCGCGTTCCAACCATTCGATACACCTCGTCGTCCTCGATTTGCTGCGCCACAATCACACAACGGGTGGGAGAGTTGAATTCGCCGACGAGGACGTTGAACCACTCGCCCTTGGACGTGGTGAGTTGATGAAGCGCTGTCGTCCTAGTCACTTCTCGAATCGTCTACCCGTGCCGTATCAATCGATGCCATAGCCAGAGTCATCGCTTACGGGGTACGTGACTGGGATGTCGCCGTCTGCCATGATGATTGAGCACAACTTGTTGCGGTACATGTACCGCATGATGGCGTCTGGAGGAGGCGATTCCATTTGCCGCTTAGCGTGGTAGTACATGCAATCGGAGTCGCCCACGTGCTCCGTTTGGACGTCGACCTCATAGATGGACTGCATAGACGCAATGGCGGGAAACCCATGCGACGCGAACATGCGATCGGTATTATGGTACATTTGCTGGAGAATCCAATCTTTCCCGAGTTGCCGAGACATGGGGTCTTTCAGAAGCGTGACATTGCGCCACGACTTGCTCGCGGCATTTTCATTCGGTGCCCTCTGCATGCAACGATCAGAGGTGAAAGTGGGATGGCATGACGTACAGGTATGGAGTTCAATTGAGTAAGAACCCAGTGTTGCATTGTGGACGACAGCACCTCGATAGACCGAAGTTTCCGTCGAAGCTCCCGCATTTCTGTCTCGGAGATTTCTTGTTCTGTCTGGAGAGCGTCGGCAATCTCATGCCAAGGCAGCATCGTCATGAATGACCTTCGAGCGCACTCAGCTTCAAGGTCTCGCACTTGAGCTTTCAACATGAGGGTCGCATCCTTCACCTTGACTCGGTAGCCCTGCATGAATTGACGGAGATATGCCCGCTTCCTCGCCTTCCGCGCGAGCACCTTGTCCGCCGTGACATTCATCGCCTTGTCCGACATCGCTTCCATGACAACCCACAATAGACACGTAACAGTTACTGAATTCATTCTTATCCGGATATCCGGATAACAAATGCATCCCACTGGCCAATGAAATTATTCTAAAAAATATTTGAATGGGATCACAATTATCCGCAGCTGAGGCCACCAGATCCGCCATGACGACGCACCGGACGCGCGGGCAAGTCTCATGACGTAAGTTACAGTCTGAGGTGTGCAACGTATCATGCAACTGGTCGGGAACGTGCGCCGTCTGTTGTAGGGCTGGTCGCATACTCCCAGAGTGTACTCACGTAAGCGGCTGTCATTGAGATTGTGGAGTTGTCTAGCTCAAGCCTCTTGGCTTCAACTTCCAGCAGCTCTGACGCAGTGAACCCTGGAAAAAGCCGACACCCCCAAAGAGCCGACCGCCTCTGTAACATGATCTGTTTTATTAAATTCAATACCACGTCAGAAACGTCATTCCTTTTCACCAATTGCAGTGCCCATACAGAATCTACTGTGATTGACTGACAAAAATTCTTTTGATTGTATTCTGGCTCCCTGCAATTCAGGATGAAATATGCCAGCTTTTCCGGGGTTCCCAGTGTGGAGCCAGCGGTGCCGGCATGGCAGAAGGCATAACGTGATAGATTGGGTGATGAGGAATACGCACAGGACCGGATTGAAACAACGTGCAGACCCATCGATGCATTTCCTTCGCAAGATGTTGCGTCTTGCACACCCGCCGTTAGCGATTCAATTTTTCCTTTGTGCTGCGTCTCGTTGTGTCTTCCAAAGCGAGCGTCATATCCTTCCAACTCAGCAAGAACAGCGACGGCGCCAGCTCATTTACCGCTTGGAGGCAGGCCACCGTCCAAGGAACGGCGCAGTCAGACGTCGTCGGCGGCATCACCCAAGGAACGACAACAGGATGCACCTGCGTCGACATGGACCAATCAGCATGCGACTCAGAAGAGGACGGGCCAATCATTTGATGGGAACTTCAGGGTTATGCTTGAGATGAATTGGCATGACCAAGAGTCCAATGAACGGTGACTGCATGGAGTCTCTTCTCCTTCCAATGCCTCAGAATGCATCACCGCCATGAAGAAACCTCACGATGGCTTCGTGAATTCGTGCTTGAATTGCCGATTTGGCAACCCCTCCGTGTAAAAGCTAGATTTTGCTCGAGCCAACTACTTGAGCGAATTGCTCTAGGGCGTTGGGTATATCGTGCGACTAGCCACGAGTAGTTCGGATTGCTGCATGATGGCGACCAAAGCTGAGGTCTCCGAGGTCCAGGCCGCCATCGAGCGGCACGAATGGGCCAATATGCTGGATGCTGCACATATCGCCTCGCAGCGCCATCTTGAGAAGCATTGAATCTTGAATGCAGAGGCCAGCGGCTCAGGCATGAACGAGCGACACGTGGCGATTCCACCAACCATTCATAGCGGAGCCTCTACCAACAAGCTCATGCCGACCGGGGTGGTTGCGCATGCCGATAAACTACATGTTTTACGCCACTCGAGCCATCATGAGTGTACAGTGCTTGAAATATCGTACTCGGCATCCATTGGTCGGAATCGCCGTCAAATCCAGTCCCCACAGCCGCGCTTCGTCCTCGAGTGGCATAACGCCAGCCACGGTTCGTAAAACTTTGAGACATGCGATTGATGCGCCTTTGAATCCACTGGCCTGTGGGCTGGCGATCGAATTCCTGCCTACCCAGTCACTCGATTCATCAGCGACCACCACCACGGCAACCAACCCACCAAGCCATTCAATCGCGCATTCTGTCAGTGGCAGTGGTCGGACGCGCGCCGTCGTCGCGGATTTGCTGGATTACGAATATGGCACAGTCTGGTTCAATGAATTCACCACATAGACACATTCTCCTTGCGACGTGTGCATTTGGTGCAGCGCCGTTGTCGCCGACGATTCTACACGTGTCAACAAGCAAAGTTAGATTTTGCGACGTGACAGCACGAATTACGTCAGACGGAACGGGGGGCACAGCATCGACGCCAAGTCGATCGCAGGCCGAATGGCGATGGAACTCTGAGGGCTTTGCGATTTCGGCGTGGTTTGGCGATGTGATGGCCTGATGAAGACGGTTCTCCAAGTTCCAGCAGGTTTCCTCCAACGCGATGTCCAGATATTCCATCGAGACGGTGCTGTCACGACAAGGCAGACCATACTCGTGGAATATGGTGTCAACGTTGTGAAGCATGCGCTGAACAATCCATTCTTTAGCAGTGTCGCGAGCAGGCGAGGTCGATGGAAGGCAAACATTTCTCTAAGGCCTGCGTGGCAAGGGAAGCGACGGCTACAAAGGACATCAAGTGCGTGCATGCGGACTGGTAACACTTACTGGGGCATATTGTGATGAGGTGCATCGCTGAAATCTATTGATGCAAATTGTGCGCCATCGATCTGGCCAGGATCGTCAAGCGCTTGAGTTCGGCGTTGTCAGAGGTCGAGTCGAGCCGGCACTCCAGTAAAGCCGCGGACACTTCTTTCCACGGAAGCAATGGCATCCCGCTATCTTTGCAGCCTGCGTCACGAAGTCGTCCAAGGTGTTAACTGTCGGACTTGAGCCCGCAAGAAATCGAAATCGTGTTTGTCGCGATCCCGATGCGTTTGCATGTACTTAAGCAGGTTCCTTCGCTTCCACGCCTTCCTTTCTACAGCCTCCGACTTCATGACGGCGTCGATCCGCACTTGGACGTCGTCGCGGCGCCAGTTGGACCTCGGTCAGTCGGTCATCGCGCTTAAATCCTGCGGACGGGAGCTCTCGGATTGGCTTTAAATACGACACGCATCATTTCTAAGCCAATCCAATCGCTCCATTGCAAAAATTGCAAATGTACTAAGTTCTCATTAGTATGTACTAGTAATTAGTACATGTCCAATATTCTCATTAGTACGACACGAACTGCCTCAGGTCGCTTTGGGTACAAGGGGGATCCAAATCGTGACGGGGCCGCCGCCGTTCTTGAAGTTGCTCGGGAACACCTCCAGCGTCGGCGCCGAATGGTCCCACGCCTCCCCCTCAATCGACTTGATGCCGTCGTCCGAGTCTACGATGGCACTCCAAGTGTTGCTGATGGTGGACAGGTCCCCGTTGTGCTCAAAAACGGCGAACGATTGCTCTGGGACAGCTATCGAGACCCATCCGTCCGGCAATGGCTCGCCGACCTTCACGTCCAGACCAGCCAGGTACGTGTACACACCGTCCATGAAGTCGTAACAGACACCGTACGACTGCTTGGCTCCGACGTTAGAGCAGAATTGGTGCCACAGTTCGTGGATCGCGGCACACGGACCGATCGTGGCCCGAGTCTGCAACCCTGCGATGAGACGCTGTGGCGCGTGCGTGATGGTGTAGGCAAGTCGCTTCGCCATGCAAGCTTGGGAGTGGTTGAGTGCAATTTTGTAAATGAATTGGATAATGGGGGTCGCAGAGCTCTGTTGTCACCAGGGGCCACTGTATGGAGCCGTTGTGGGGGGGCGGGAACGGCACATCTTTGCGGCTTTGCGGGAAAAACGCGCATTGGTCGAAGAGCTTCGACGAGCGGCGAAAGTGGTAGTTGCAGTCGAGATGGTTTGGCATGATTACCCGCTTCGAGGAGATTCTGAAGAGCCGTAAACTGCGTGTCGTTCATCTGGAAACGTGACAGGCACATGTGGCGTCAAGTTGTGGCGACGAATCGGAGTGTCTCCTTCTAGTGTTCTCACATGATAGAGGGGCCACCAGTGAATGCAGTGAAAGGCTGGTGTGCACTTGCACATTTGGATCGCTTTCGTTCAGTCGATAAAGACGGCTAGCATGAATCGAGGATTGAATGGACAGGTCCATCGCTGAGGACCATCGGATGAATTGGCGCGGATTTGGGTTCAACGTTGAATTGAGGGAAAGACTCCGATTGGATGAAATCTTCAGTTCTGGGTTTGATTGGTCAGAGCAATTGAAATGCATTTTAATTGGCTCGTTAGAGGACAACAGGCATGATTTTCCACCAATGGGTACAGTTTCCTAGTGGCGCTATGTACACCTGGTCGTGGTTCGAAAGCTCTCGAGGCTGCACTTAAAGATTGGGGAGCCACTCCTTGCCTTTGGCCTGCTATTCACGCGCTGTGGGGCGCCAAGCTGCCCCATCTTTGTGGCAAGGAAACTCATGACATCTGCCACGACTTCATAGATGGCAGGCAATTTGCCTGGTTGGAAGTCACCCCCCAGTCGACCTTCACTCGTTGTCTCCATCGAAATTCCCGAGCTAGTGTGCCATTTGATTGGTAAAATGCAGATGGGTGGCGTGACACACCGAGCTGGCAAGACAATTGGCATTGGATGTCTTGCCGCTAGAAAGCATAGCGGTGGGTCCATTACGTTTCTGACTTGGATGACATGAATTACATCTGGAGGGGCTGCTTCGTCAGTGGGAAATGCTGTCGCCGGTGGAGGCCATCAACGGTCGAGCGGCTGCACCGAGTGGGCATGGCTCGTCGCGATATCGTCTTGTGTTCTCGTCAGGTAAACTCTGCGAGTTTCGTCGCCTCTATGCCGCCTTTGTTCATGGCTACATCCATGCTTCGCTTTGGTGCCCAGCGTTTTTGGTGCAGTACACTGGGACATGGTCGCATGCACGACATGCGCGTTCTGGTCGGCGGTCCGGTCGAATGTTCAACAGTCGCGACAAACAAAGCATGTGCTAGAAAGTACAAACGTCAGATGCCCCAACACGCATCGAACCACGCAATGCGATCTCAGTTTCGAAGGTCAAGCACACCATCCTTGGCGGAATGCATGCCACAATGCATGCTCACGACCACTTGAGCTGGCGTGATGAGCAGCGTGTGGAGGGTAATGGGCTGACAATTTTCCCTTTCGCTACGTTCGGTGCGATGCCAAATTGATATGGTACTCGTACTTGAACGAGGGTTACATGTTTCTCGAGCGCCGAGCACTAGTGATCGACACCGACGTTAACAGGCGCATCTCACAATACCGCGATCGCTGGTCAAGTCATGTCATTTTCGAGGGTAGAGAATTGCGCTGGCGTCGACTGGTAGAAGAGGCGGGCTGTGATAACCATTGCCTGTGCGCGCGTCATGGGGTGACCGGGCAAAAGCGTCATACCAGTTGCGTGGAAGTGGTAAGAGTTGTACATGCCGCGGACACAAAGACGGAGGCTTGTGAGTACGTAGAAGGAATGCCCTCACGCGAGCGTCGTGTGCATGCACGGGTCGAACGTGAAAGCAAAGACGAACGATGGTGTCGCGGGCTTATGCCTTGTGCGTGCGGAGAGCTATCTCGACTTGTTTCCATGGCAGAATCGAGTTGGATTCGGCGTTGCGCCTCGTGGCCAATATGCTTGCCTGCAGTTGAGCTTCGAGGGGCAACGCTTCAGCCCACTATTGTTCCAAGCTCGTCTTCTCCATGTGGCAATTCGTCTTCATGAACGAGTGGAGTATACTTTGGGTGTGTTCGCCGCCGCTTCAAGACCTTGGCCGACTCTTGTTCCTGGTTTGATTGACGAACGTATGCAGCAAATTACGAATTCGTGTCTGTTATCCAAAATGGGCATTTCCTCAAGATATCGTTCCTGGAAATCCCCCGAAATGAACGAGCCAATCAAAACGCATGGAAAAGTTAGCAATATTCCGGAAAACCCTGTGAGGTAAAAGTTGTTGCCAAAAAATACAAAATAACGTTACGACAAAACCGATACCTATACTCGAAACCATGGTGAAAATTCGATGTCGAGCCACACCATGCTGAGTGTGCCATGCGCACCTGGACCCACGCATCAAACACATCATAACAACGCCACCCACGATGCGCGATGCTACCGTCGAAGGACATTGCCTGTGCGCTCGTCATGACCTCGTGGAAGGTGCTGGACAAGCGCATTGGTGTGGTCGTTGTATGCGACTGTCCAGTCAATCCATCATGTGAGTTGGTGTCGCGGACGAGAGTCGCACTCGCGCTGGCGAATACCAACATGATGAAGTTCCTCACCCAAGCCCAGCCGTAGCTCACTGCATGTTAAAGTAAAACAACTAGTGGCTGCGGACGTTCGTTCGTGGACGGCCGGTCGGTTGCATCCCCATGCTGGTTTCGTCGTCGGAAACGTGTGTGGTTTCATTCACTACGAAGGCAGTCTTCCTTCGTCCGAGGCCTCTGCCTTGATGGCGCCTCAGATGCCGTGGCAGTGGGCTAGTTCATGGTTGATGATCGAACTGTACCATTGCTGTCTGGACGACTTGAGGCCCTCGTTGCGAATGCGATGTAGCCTCAAGAACAGGTCGTCCTGTTCCCATTCGTTGACCTCGGTCAAATCGTGGCCCCACGCCCGCGCTTCGTCCACCATCGAGATGAACCCACCAGCCTTTGTGAACTGCTGCGACACGATCGATACATAGCGTCCCCGGGTTCGATTCGGCGCCTCCCCATGCAGCTCGACCCTACAAAGCTTGCATCATCCACTCATTCAAGAACCGCGGCGTACCAAGTCATGCGGCTGCGCTGGGGTAGCGACGATGCGTAGCGGGTTGCCGCTTCGTCATCCTGAATTTGTGTCACCACGACGACCGTCCGATTGTCGGGTTCGTTGAATTCAGCGCCGAGGAGATTCACATACTGCTTGGGGGCAGCGTCGTCCCCGTTTGGCATAACTAGGCGATGGAGCACCGTGTTGCCGGTCGCTTCCGTCAATGTCTGGGAAAGAAATGGTCAGCAGCGCTGTGCCAGGAGGAAGCGTACTTTGGCAGTAAGGGGGCAGAACGCATCCAGCGTAAACATGGAGCACAAGTGGTTCCGAAACATGGATTGAACGTTCTCGAGCGGCATATTCCAGTCGACGTGGCCCCTCTCAACGATGTAATAGCAGTCGCCGGACGAAAAGTCAATGTCCCAGCTATTGTCGATGATGCTGTAGTGCGTGGGTGGGCACTCCTGCTGCCGGAAGATCCGGGATGAGTTGTGGTACATGTGCTGCGTGATCCACTCCTTCCCGAGCTGTCGCGAGCGAGGATGCGCCAAGAGCGTCACATCCCTCCACGTGCGGCTCCAACTGCTCAGCGACGCCTGGCAAGCACAATTGCGTAAATCGCAAGGCATAGAATGGTATCGAGAGTCGAACCGTGGGGTTGTGGAAGGACGCGACCCACTCTTGCAAGTCGCGTCGTACAGCTTCCGCTTCCTCGGATTTGAACTGCAGCGCTCGTTGTTTCGAATGAGCATCTTCACACATCGCGTGCATGGCCGCCGCGACTTCTTTCCACGGCAGGGCCAGCGGCCATCGCGTGTTGTCAGGATCGGTGGGTGGTGTCCTCTTGACGAGGCGTGTGGCCAGTTCGTGCTCGAGCGCTTCCACTTGCAGCTTGAGCGCCTCTACTTCACTTCGTTCTCTGTTCCGGTAGGCCTGCATGAACTTTCGCATGTAGCCTCGTTTTCGGATCTTGCGCTCCAATTTGGCGACGCCTTCGTCCACCGTCTTCGGCGGCATCGTTCAAGTACAAGTAC